ATTTACGTCAATGTTTACGTCCCAAATGTTGGTCATGAGGAAAAAAACAAGAATAAAGACTAACTCAACAACCAATCACAGCAGACTTAGCATGGGTGGATACGACTGGCACAGATATCAACAGACTGTCCAACAAACGGTAACAAAGATATGACAGAAAAACCTTCAGCAGGAAAACAACCAATCAGAAAACGCTACCCCTCTGCTAACAATAACGAATAATAATGTACATAAAAATCTATAAATATCTGTTTATTTTCTTAACAGACGATCCGTTGCCTGGCCCTTATCTTCTGTCGTTACACCTGCATTCCCAATGCATGATAATGTTTCCAAAGACACTTGAACCCTGCACCCATCGCTTCAAACGCCAGAATGTTGTCCACTAAGCCATTTGAACCACGAGGACCACTACATGCACCATGGGTATCAGTTTAAGTTAGTTTGCAATTCCCGTTGACTACTGATTATGTCGGATCGAAATGTTCGGTCTCTATTGACATATCGGCTCCTTTTACGGATGCAAGCGTAACAAACTGACGAGTTACAAATAGGATGAAATGCACATCCTGGATTCCACTACAGGTCACCATCAACCATAATAACATCACTTTAATCTTGAGAAGTTGCTGAAGCATCCGTACTGGTGTGATATGATGTGCATTGACAAGAAGCAGTCAGAATCGAAATCAACATTTTCATTCAATAGCTGCAGATGTAGAAGCGTCTATTCCTGAAATCTGGATTTAGTTTACGTTGTGGATGTAAAATAGACTCACACTTGACAGCTTGTTAAACCTTGAGCCAGTTGCCAATCAATCAGAACAATTTATCCTCCACTGACTTAGTCGAACTTTAATATGGTTAAGAAGGGTGATTTTATTGCACAACCCCGCTAAGTGTAGCGTCGTAGTCCGTTGCTATGGTGATTTAATGACAAGTTATATTTTTTGTATGCTTTTTAAATGAAATTTCCCATTAACAGTTTTTTTCGTAATGTACATATTATTGGTGGCATTGCATTATATCCTTGAACTGGGTTACATTTGCTGCGCTGATATTGATTTCTGCACAATGTAATGGATTAAATGATGCAATAAGTTCAAAAGTTGAACGTATACTTTTGGATTTCCATGGAATCATGCAAGTATATTCTGGGTCTATTTACTGTAATTCTCTAATACTCAAAGGTTAAAACAGGTAGCAGCGCCACTTCAAAAAAGCGATATGCCGTATGATAGCCCGCCCCTTCTCCCGTTACACTAACACCCACAAAACAACAGATATCAAAAAGTTCGGTCCAACATAATCGACCTCCGGGACTTGCAAATTAGCTTATATACATGTATGTATAAGGGTAAGGGTGTAACCGATTGAAAGAAATAATATAACGACAGTCATGATTGATGTTTTAAGCAAAAATAAAATGGTAGGTGAGCTTCAAGTTTCTACTTAATACAAAAATGTTGGAGAAGGAGATATTCGGCAGAAAGGCGTAACATATGAAAGTCGATTTATTCACCTATTTATTCAAAAGATCAAAGGAATAAAATAAATAACTGTTTTCCGAAAAAGAAAGGACTGTAAGTATAATATTTCATTTTAACAATATCATGATTAAAAGCGTGCAGAATAACATATAAGTGTTATGACGTATTATTGGAATAATCATGTTTCTATGTGAACAAAAATATACTCTGTGTGTGTAAAGACGTATAATGGTCTATGCATAGTTATATGAGATAGACTGAGAGATCAGCACAAACACATTGTTGCCATTATAATGCGCAGTAGTGGAATCAAAGGTATTAAATGTTTATTGTTCATTTCTCAATGTTAGAAGAGATGAATCGATAGGAAGCTTTGGATCTAGTTTTCGTGACTTTTGGTATTCCTCAGCAAGACAGCATCTATACTCTTCAGACAACTTATGCTCCCTGTTTGAATAGAAACTGTATCAATTGGAAATGGATTCAAAACCGTTTATCATTACTATAATTATTATCCCCTTGGGTTTCGAATAAAACCCAGGAGTCCAACAGTACATCTCTCTGTCTCATCCTGATCTCTGTATTTCATTTTACCTGGGTCAACAGCTGCTAATGTGCTTTCATTTCGTCCTCAAACGATGTCCTCCATGTCACCTTCGGACACCGCCTGAATCCCCGTTTCCCATTTAAGTTCTACTCAGGTGCCAGCCCTGCAGGCAATGTCACTCAACGGTACGTATATCCACGATGTATCTTTATTTCCTTAGGTATATTTGATGGGTGAGAGATTTTTGTTCGGTTCACTATCACAGATCCTTGTTAGGCATGCGCAGCACGTGACCTAGCCATCTCAATCTATGTAACTTTATAGCCTCGTCGATTGATTTTCCCTGTTTGCTCAGCACTCTGCGCCTAACGTCAACATTACTTAACTTATTATACCACCTAACGTGAGAAAGAGATCGTAGACATCTATGATCGAAAGCAGTCAACCTTTTCATGCCTTTAACTCGTATTGGCCATGTTTCAGTGCCATAGAGAAGGACGGAGCGAACTGCTGAGCAGTACACACGTCCCTTGGTTGATAGCCGAATGTCACGCCTACGCCACAGAGGGTGTAAGTTAGCGAAAGCAGCTCGAGCTTTTTGGATCTGTGATGAGATTTCGCCACCAATCAGTCCGTTGGTGCTGATACAACTTCCCAAATAGGTGAAGTGGTCAACATGTTCTATCACTTCACTCCCTATCACTAAGTTAGGGGTTGACGTGGTCCAGTCCTGTAGCAGCATCTTACATTTTACAGGAGCAGGCGAATCGCATGCCAAACATACGAAGATTGCTGCTCAAGGTGTTAAGAAGACTCTACATTTTGTCAGCATCCTCCCCTAACAGGACTATGTCATCTCCATATTCTAAGTCCATAAGACTAGTCCCTGGCAACTTGTTGTGTACTAGCAGGTTAAGAAAAATAAGAAATGTTGAGAGTGGGGCGAGCTACTCTACTCCAAAAAATCAACCAAATAGTTGGAGAAAGTTCAAAGAGCAGAAAATGTATTTTAAATGTTTACCACTAAGCTATTCAAGACACATTGTAAGCGTGTTCTCCGTAAACGCGTAGCTGAGCATAGGACGACGAAGTCTTCAGTGAGTGAACACCTTCTGGAGTCAGGTCATTCATCCCCAAGTGATTTATCCTTCAAAGTTATTTACAGGACCAAATCCAATCACTCCAAAAGCTTACGTTTACTCCACTTATGCATAGTCGAAGCTCTAGTTATATACGTGAACAGAAACCTAAATTCTGTGTTCAAAAACATTTTGTTAAGCCCCTTTTTTTACCTAAGTCATAATAATGTTATTTTATTTTATTCTACCACTTGAATTCATTCCACTTCACTTCATCTTCCCTGTCTTTACTGTTATCATCATCGTATCATTAATTTTTTAGACAACATTTGACCTACAATTTTAAAATCTTCCTACCAGTTCACTTATTTATTAATCTTTGAAAGTTTTTTAATTCAACCATTTCAATTCTACCCGTCTTAGTACATCATTTTAATTATCTTTATTCTTATCATAAGTATATTAAGTGAGCAATTTCCAGTGTCACTGAATGCCTTTTTCCGTAATATATATAAATACGACTGTACCATTGCTTGAAAATGAAGCCATTGAAAAGAGATATTTCTTCGCTGAACAAAAAACTGTGTTTCCACCCCCTATGAATTAATGGGTATATTTTGCGACATTCAAGACACATTTGACTATTTACCTCCATACCGCTGTAAAACCTAATACTAGTTGGCTGTTGTAAATTCAGAGGTGAAAAGACATTACACATAAAGAACAATAACCTCATATTCTTCAGATTGACGTGTAAATGTCGATTGTCGTCGATATTATTACAGAGGAAGACCAGAAATTTACTAAAACAACACAAGAACAAAAAAAATAATGGAAAAGACACTGTTGGCACACCTAAAATAATCAGCAATTCCCTTCTACTTGTTGACTATATTACCCAATATTTTAAGTGAACTGTGTTTGATTACTAAACAACAAACTTTTATAGAACTTATCAGTACTATGCAGAAAAAACAAGAACTCAGAAAAGTCACTAAGTCCTTCACTTATTTAGGAAACATGGTTTCAACTACAGGCTAGTGGAATGGATGAAGATGCCAAAGCTAGCCAGCCGGAATCGGAAAGGCAAGATAGACTTTTATCAACCAGAAAACAGTTTGGAAATCTTCTGCACTCAGTTAGCATGAAGAACAAGATTCAGATTTTCAACAGAAATGTTAAGTCAGTCAGTCAGTTCTTCTTATGGATCAGAAACCTGCACTGCGTGTCAGTCACGAAAATGATTTCCAACAAGTTACGGACTTTTATCATCAGCTGCCTTCATTGGCTCCATACTGAAGATCAAATGGCCAACCAGTCAGAAACAGTTAGCAACAAGAAACTCTGCCGACTGCTCAACAAATATGTAGGAGAAAATGGAGATGGACCGGGCATACATTGAGGACACCATGCGCCAGGCCCTTCAATGGCGGGGGGTGACATGGAGACCATGCGAGAAGGAGATGAGAGATTATGGGCGATTGAAGACCCAGCTGAAGAGGACAGAACCAAATAGAACAACGTAGAAATGTGTTGTTGAAGCCCTATGTCCCATTGAGAACCAAAGGGAAAAGGTAATACTACAAAAATAACTAAGTACCAGATACGCCACAATACAAATTTTTAAGATGAATGTTTCAAACAGCAGGTTTCTGAGTAGAATTAAACTAAGAGGTCACAACTGACGTCTAGAGACTATAGGGAACAGCCTAGAAATAGTTATAGTAGTAGGCAGACATTTAAGCATTTCTTTAAAACCTTTTGCATGTTGTCATTCTGCTGACATCCATCTGCTAACCTGTATAGTCTTGTTTAAAAAAAGGAGAGTAAAAAGTTAACCAAATAGACATAAAAAGGTCAAAACAACTAAACTTGGAATCTTACTTCCTGAACTAGTTGGAACAGGTGACTGAGAACTCGAGGTTTCTTTATCTTCAATAGCATCTTTGAGTTGTTTATTTTCTTCTTTCAACTTTTCAATTAATTGAAGTAGTTCTTGAACTTCAGAATGCCATGTTTCTTCAATTTGCTCTAATTCCTTGAAGAAGTAAAAAACCAATAATAAAATCAGGAATAATAAACGGAACAATTTCTTGAAATCAAATTTGCAATCTTCACAGTTAAAGATGATTATTCCACTATAGTTTCCTGTAGAAAACGAGACTATTCAGACTACAGTGTGTGTGCGTGCGTGACCTGCTTCACACCACAAGTGGTAATCAAGAAACAAAGTGTAAGTGCATGAAACTATATACTACTGAATATTGATTGAGATGAGTAGTTGTATACCGCTCACATCAACTAGTAAAGCTTGCTAGCCAGATCAAACTGTGTAAATTACAAACTGCGAATTCAACTTGAGATATTACCAGTTTACCCAAGTAGCTAGCTAGAATTCGAGTGGTTTGAACTGATTCGGCTCTTTCAGTTCAGTAAAAATGCATACACAGCTTATGGTCTCGACCCCAAACGAGAGAAACAGCTGTCCAGTGTTTAAATCACTTCGAACTGGCTACCAAGCACGACTAACTAATACTAGTGGTATACAACCAATCACCCCAATCAATATTCAGTAGTAGTACTGGTATACAGGAACAATTTCTGATAACAACTCTTCGTCATCGTAATAACGTTTTTTTATTATAGCTTGATTCCATACAGTATTTTTAGTACAAGTATGGAATTTTCAGCATGTGATATCAGTAGCCCAAATTTTGCAGGCCGACCATTGATATCAGGTGTTCATCGTCAGTGAGTGTCCTAACCGCTGTGCTACCGACGCAGGTATTCATATTCACATTTTATGAACATTATGCTGGCATCCAGTTCACTGGAAAATTCCTGTAGTGCCTAACTGTTTTACAGTACCATGATAGTAGAACCACGATGCAATGGCGCACTCTAAAAGGGTGCATTTCACTAATAAATAGTTATATTTCAAATAACATAAATTTATAGCCTTTTTAGTCTTGAAGTTATTGGAACTGTGTACTGTTGAGTATTTTCAAAGTACAAACAATTACTCGGTAGTTAATGCTTTAGTAACTCAAACACTGAAATCTTCAATATCTTGGAGGTTATAATCCAGTTTCACTGGAAAGAGATGCCTCACTTGAAATATCATTATTGTTCGACAGCATTATTAATAGCATGCAATAAGTTTCACTGACAGTTTGTTGTTTTATTTCACTGACTGCATGAGGGCTGAGATACCGCCATGGCGCCCATACGAAAGCAGGTAGTTGTCTTAAGGGACCATCCCTGAGTCTTTGACTTGGAGTTTAATTCGTAAGGCAGCGAAGCGGCGTTAAGAGCTACTTTCCCATAGTTAACAGTGACCATTACAGGTTCACATGCCATTTGATCCGATTGGATTCTGGAGCCTATGTACCTCATAGTAACTGCTTTTAGTACAAACAACCTTCCTGACATAGTAGGACCTGCAGGAACATGAGTCCAGCCAATTTAGCTTGTTTGGTCACTGTGGTATTCAAGCCCGACCACCACGACAAGGTAGCAGTTATCGGCCAGGAGTTTCACTGGACAAGTATAAAATATGAAATCGGTGACACTGGTTCCGCAAAGTAATAATAACGATGATAACAGTAGCAAAAATAGTACAACTCAGCAGGAACCAGCGGATCTAACTGATACACTGATTGACAAATCGAGAAATAACTTCTTAAGAGGTTATCAATTCAAGTCTTTACATTTCAAAAAGAAGAAAAAGGAGGGAGCACAAATAGAATGATGCTGCAATGAACAAACATGTATGTCGAAGAGAACAATCCAGTGAAGATATTTTGAATCTCTAGGGTAATAAAAAGTGAACGCATTTACGCCCCTATAGTCAACAACTTTGATTCCTATCACCAAGGTTCTCCATTTGTTTTTCATTTTTAGTATCACAGAGACTGCAAACAAGAAAACCACAGGATCCTGCAGGATTCTCACTCCATGAACTGATCTCAGCTTTTTTGAACTTTGATCAAGGCTTACTTTTATACAATTTAATACTACTGTTAGGCCGCATTGCTATTTCAGTTAGGTGATGATTGGAGATGCACAGCACATATCTCAGTTACTTTATTTGCTCAAGATTCACAATGTTATAATACGGTGAATACTCTTTCTAATAAACACTCTAGGCTCAATTTCAAATTTTCTTACCATGTGATTCCATTACACACGTGAGGAATGAGTCTAATACACTAGACTTTGAATAACAGATCAATTAGAAAAACGGAGCAAACATTGTGTACACTGGCACAATCGTGATTAACCTTCAGTTAATTTGTCAGTGTAAGAGTAAAATCTAATCACTATGGTAGGATTATCCATTATGTCAATTTCTTTTATATAACACAGTAACATGTAACCTAAAATTATGTTGCATTCTAAATTCTGAGCTAACAACCGATGACTCCACGGATCAGTATCACCTTTTATTTAATATCCTAAATCCCTACAAAATAACTGTTGAAAATTAATATGATTTTCACCAGTGACTGACTACAGGATGAAATCGCCTACAGCTATAGTGAGGAGTCATGACGATTGAAGTCTACCAGGTTGGTTGTGACGATGAATACTCGCCGATGACATTGGCTAATAGTCGTGCTAAAATTGCGAGCAGAGAGAAGTTACAATTCACGAGTTATTGAATTCCAGTTCATGTGGTTGAATGGCCAATGAGTATGACGTCGTAACCTGAAGATCCCAATTTCGATACCTGGTGAAGTCGTGGGTGTGCAATGTGAAGAGTCCCAAGCTGGAGCGAAACAAGTCTCGTTGGTCTTAAATAGTTCTTTAACTTATATTAATCCATGATAAGACTTAAAACAAATGGAATGCCTACAAATAAACTCTTGAAAAATATGTGGCTTTTTGTCAAAAATTCTTTGAATCTTTAGCACAAATGACTAAAAGGTTTGCTGTCTAGACGAAAATGAAATCAGTTCTCATAATTTTACTTAAAATTCATCAAAGAAAATGGAACCAAAATACATAAATAAGTGGATTTAATAAGACGAGAATAAGCAAAAAGCAACCAAATAAGATTGTCTTAAGCCTAAATTAGCAAACATCACTTTCGGCAAATAGGACATCTTACAAAACTTAACAACTCTAAACTTTTGGGAAAATCGAAGTAAAAATAAGTAATGATTGCGAATTAAGAACGTATTTCAGCAAACTACGAATTTGAAACACGCGACAAATAACACTTATATTCTGATGCAATTCACCAACTTTTATTACGACACAAACACCTGTATACTTTAGTTAAAGTGCTTGTCGATGACCAAGAAGAAATCTCACTCAACGGCTGATAATCACATAATTTACCTATTTTTATATTTTAGATAAAATAGGTAGTTAATGCCCGCTTGTGCTAACATGGAAGTTTACTGAAGTAGGTGATTCCTAGTGCACAGTTATAGGAACCATTCATCTTTAGTAGTTCATAGTGCTCAGATCTCTAATTGATGGCCTGGTTTAGCCTTTTTTAGCTACGCATTCATTCTGCTAGTTATAACAACCAAACTTGACTACTCAGTATTATTTTAATCCATTGTGGGTCGGCCACACCTTTCGCCCGGAGTTGGATCCCCGGCCGACTCACTCCTTTACCTCGCTAGGCTGGTAATAAGACTGGTAAGGAGGGAAGGTTTAGTATGAGGCTAGCTACCCCATCTCGTAAAAATGAACACCACTGCTCCGAAACTTCAAGCCTCTAGCTTGAAGCCCTATGCTCCACTGGGAACGTAAAGGAATAAAAAATTTTTAATTCAGGTGGTTTACTAACAAATGTTATGAAATGATGAAATACACAAACCCACCTTTTTGTGTCTATTTTGATCTTCTTTTCGATCTAATTTCTCAAGTTCTAAACGATGTACAGCAGTCTGAAGAGTTATTATTTCTCTTCCTTCTGATTCAAATTTTGTAGCAAAGTCTTCCAGTTCTTCGAGAACACTTATCACTTTAGGCATTAAGTTGGACACTGAATAAGGTCCATACTTATCGATGATGGTCTCGAATTCTTTGCCAATTGAAGCAGCTATGTCGTAAACATCGAGAACAGTGATCGACGGTGTTGACGGACGTTCATTCGACACTTCAGGGGGAGGTGGAGGAGAAGGAGCAGCAAGTGCCTTATCTACACCCTCCAGACTGAAGCGGCGAATAAGTCCGGAGGAAGTATCAGGATGAGACAACAGTTTGAAAGAACTACTTAAAAATTGAAAGAGTTTGAAAATTTGTAAAAATAATTTTGTAAGATCAATTGATTTTTCGAATTAGTTTTAACAGAGAATCATTACCACATAATTTAACATTTTCAAGTATCAAAATCAAAAGCATTTCGTAAATAGGAATTTAGGGTGACAATTAACCCAAGATTTGCATATTTATTAATTTATTAGGAACCATGCCTCTAGATCTGGAATGATAACAGATTACATCAATATACAGTTTGTTTAAATATATTAAATTGAACGTTGGAGTGTTTAAGAGAAAATTGTCTCGAAAGGTTTTGGAGTAAGAAGGGTTAGAAACCAAACGACCGTAAAACCGCTGTAGATAAGGTTTAGAAGTGTTAAAAAGGACAGAACCGTGGTCCTACATGATTGAAAATGACTTATTGGTCGTCCATTTACGTCCATAATTTCTGTTATTGATTGTTGATCTTGCAGTGTAACATATGAACAGTGTCGATTTCACTGTCATTCCAAACACACCAACATTTAAACCCCGCATATCGCACCACAAATTGGTTTTCTGATTCCCGCATAGTCTTCCTTGTCACACTCTTCTGCTTACTCACTTATTTGTTTATTTTTTACAGGATCTTTCTTTTACAAAATTCATATTTTTCCAATAGTTACATGATTACTATATCACTTTCTACCCCACCGGGAGACTAACAGAAAAAACGACTAGTTCCAATCACAGCTGTACTAGTTTTAACACACTGCAAACTACAAATATAACCGACCTCCCATACAACTATTCCACTCAGGGTCTACCAAAGCTCCAGCAGGCAAGTGACTGAAGGAGCTACGCAAAAACCCGTTAAGCAGAAGGAGCTACTATCTTACTAGCAGGAAAGTAGCTTAAAAAATCAACTCAATCAGTGCTATCTTGTAAGAAGGATATTGGAAATTATATATAAATATTCATAAAAACATGTTATCTTCCTGTTCTTATTCATAGTTACAGTCACCATTCTACCATATTCGTGCAACGTACTTAAGACAATTCGAATAATCTAATACTCAACCAGAAAACATAAGGTCAGGTTGTTTTGTGCCTCTTCAAAAATGCATTCAAATAATTACTTTACTGTGTTTTCGAAGGGTGAAATAAATGTTACAAATAGACTATTATTTGCCCTTTTACCACAATGCGCGATAAAATGACCATAAATTGGGAGTCGAAAAGTAAATTGAATGAGAAAATGTTTGAACTAATCACAAAGATTATTTATTCGCTAGCTGGTTCACTTAAAAAACAAAAGGGTTTTGTTATACCGATCCGCACAAATACCACTAGTGGCAAAATCAAAAATATGGTAGGCAAAAGCTTTCTTGAAACAAGAGACTTCGGCGCATCTTAAGTAAGAAACATTTTTGTCACAATTTTGGAATTTGGGTTACTTCTGGACTAATTATTATTATAAACTTAAAAATAGGCTAAATGCTTTTGCGAATATATATATATATATATATATATATATATACATGCATATAGGTAGTGTTATTAGAAGACAAAGTATACCTGAAACATATAGTGTTATCAAATACATTTCGAGCAATCTGACTAGATTGTGTTATCAATTACAATTACATTTACGGTGCGTCTGTGGCATAGCGGTTAGGTTGCTTGCCGTTCATGCTCATGGTCCGGGGTTCGATCCCGGCCGACCCACTCCTTTACCTCGCTAAGCCAGAAATAATTCTGGTGAAGAGGAAAGGTTGGGCATGAGCACAGCAACCCCACCCTGTAAAAATAGAAAATGCTACAGAAACTTCAAGCCACTAACTTGAGGCCCTATGTTCTACTGGGAACGTGAAGGAAAAAAATTAGTTCATTACAATTTTAGATATTTCTTTTTCACACATAATAACTTGTCAAGTTAATTTGTGCGTGATGTGACTGTTCGAAATGTACTGGGCAAATATATCACATTCTTTAGATAGACTGTGTTTTCTAACAACACTACTGACACTGTTTGCAGGTAGTACACTAATTATACAATTATAATTATTTTGAATACCCACTAATATTTATATATTTCAAATGTATGTAACACTTGAGAATTTCGAATAAATTGAAGCAAAAATAAAGTAAAAACTAAGCTCTGCGGCAGTAATGCCATACATTCTACTAAAATGGCTATAATTCTAGTTAATTTCTCATGTCTTTTTCATTTAGTAATAGCATTCAAGCAACTTTATTGGTCGTTTGTGACGAGTTTATTCAGTAGAATTTAGTTTTAATGAACACACAATGCAACTTGAAATAACAAATATCTGAACAAGTACCTTAATATCGAAGATGCACAAAAAAGGTCCCCCAGAAGTAACGACAACACCTAATTACGCGGCTAAAGTTCATGGAACCGTGTTTTAATAGGTAGGATTTTTCGATCATTTCCAAATAGTAGTTCTTGTTCCTAATACACACTTTGTGGCTCGAAATAAACATTTAAATTTCTGAAGACATAGTGTAAAAAGAGACTATACACCATTTCTCAGTGGAGTTAACCCGGAAATCCAATATCCAGTATCATATCTACTTGCCACTGCAAACCAGTTTGATTTCTTCGACCTCGCTTCTTGGTTGCGAGGCAAAGGTTCCTGATTTTCGGTAAACTTCTGCGTAGTTCTTCCCGCCACTCGACTGTCATAGTTCTGGTCGATTACTAAAGGGAGTTGTATAGGCATTTATTATGTGTAGTTTGTAGTATGTGGTATGTTAAGATCGTGTGGCTATTGTGAACTGAGTTGATTCTTTCACCCGTTAGTCGTGTCGTCGAAAAATGGATAATAATAACAACAGGTGTGCTTAGTGTAGGTTAAGTAGACCTAAAAAGAAAAAGAAAACTTAGACAGAGAACGAAATTTAAAGTACATGTAGTACATACATAGATTTTTATATGACATACATGCCAATTATAATATTACTAGTGTGAGGGACGTAATATCTAGGGTAGTCAAGAGAGTAAGATAAGTGAGGATGTGAAAAACCGATGAGTTTGGGTGTCTTTCCTTTAATAGCGTATAAGATTTTAAGGGGAAGGCTGTTTAGACGCAGTCCTTGTGTCACTATCAGATCTTCGCTTAAAGCTGTCCATGGACGGTTCAGTATCTACATCTACCGACAGACAGTTCCAGGGCCAGCAAACTCTCAGTGAAAAGAAGTGATAGCGCACTCGATACCTCGTTCCCTAACGGATTCTAAAGAGGATTCCCATATCTACTTAATGGCAGAACACATTTGTTTGGGTGATGCTGCTCACTTGTTATCTTGTAGGCAGTAATCAAGTCCCCCTTAAGCCAATGGTGGCTAAGTGTGAAGATACCTAATTTCTTTAGCAGTCCATCCCATGGTTTGTTTTGGAAACCCATCACTCCTTTTGTTGTCCGTTTCTGGGCTCTCCTCTAAAGGTCAGCGTCTCTTCTGAGCAATGGGGGTGCAGTGATATTGAGCACTTCAAAGTGCGGTCTGACGTATGTTTTGTACAACCTTAGAAAAGCTCAGGAGTGAGTGTGCCCAACTGTCTAACTGTATCACCGCATATGCCCTCGATACATCCTCCGTGTAATTCACGCTTGTGTCAAGATTTTCCGTCAAATTATGACTTAAGTTACGCTTCGACATCGTGCAGGACAAGCCTTCGTCACAAATGGTGTAACTTGCATTCTGCAGTCTACAAGTGCGTGATTTCACTACCTTGCACTTTTTCAGGTTGAAAGTCATATCAGTGGCCACCACTCAGTCTTCCAGAAGCTTTAGCTTTGCCTGCAGCCTATTTGAGTCATCCAGACACTACTGCTCTGCAAATCCTTACTTTGTCAGCGGAAAGAAATGTCAGGCAGCTTTAATAAAAATCAAAACTCCAATGACCCTAAAATAGAGCCCTACAGTTTCCCGATGACGAACTGTGCCAGGATGATCGCACACGATTGGCCTTAGTGCTGAATTTCCTTTCAGCTAGATAATCTTCCAACCATGACAGAAGCGAACCCCTATACCTGTTTGATTTATTTTCTTTAGGAGATCATGGTGAACTCTGTTAAATACCTTCTTAAGGTCTGGGAAGATCACATGGACTGGAAAATTCATATCCCAGGATGATATCTGTAGCGGTAAATAATTCCCCAAAATTATTGACCACAGCAATCACTCACCATTGGATGCTGACCACCACTGTTTAAGTAGACTTGTTTAGCTGAAGGCTTCCGGTCAAGCATCCCCGCCATTTGGTACCCCGTCACGTGCATGATCACTAGCCAGCTAAGCGTTCGTCTCACGGCTTGTTTTGGTCCCGAAATATATCACGTAGTTTGGACGATCAAATATTGGCTTTTGCTTTGTTTTTGGTACGCGAGAGTAAATAGTTTAGATGTTGACCGAATCTCTTGTTCATCATAATCTCTTTTATCACTACCCATTGTTCCTGCTTGTGTAACTCAGCCCAGTCTACGGGCTATTCTTTGTCAGAAAACAGTTTGCGCATTTCAGCATAGTCAGCTTTATTACTGCGTCCCGCTGAAGGTTCTCGCAAAGAACAAATCATTAGGACCAGGTGTCAATGTAGTTTAAGATTGAACGATCAATTCATGGTTGTTTGCTCAAACCCAAATCCTCCATATTCTTCGCGGGAGTCATCAATACGGCAGTCATCGTCTTATCGTTCACTGTTCGTTGAAAGAGAGAAAACTATCAGAAGTATTGTTGTGATTTATTGTTATAACATTCAATGATATTCTGAAACTGGTAAAAGAAAGTGTCAACCAAGCTATGAGCAAGTTTTGCAGTGTATTGCATCCTACCTCTGGAATAGAGAATAATAATAATATATTTTATCTCTGGAGCAGAAACCAGTCATTTTTACAGGCATGAACATATGCACACTTATTAGAACTTATAGAATATATAATATGATTTGTTAATCTGGAAATAGGTTGAATACTGGTAAATGTGAGGGAAACATTCAAGGAGAAATGTACAAGTAAGGAAATAGATTATCTTCGAGGTCTGCATCGACCGAATAAGTCATAAGATATGGCATCAAATCTAAACTGTAATTGGAAAAATACGGCATGTCAGTTTCACGCGGGAATTATAAATGAATGTGCTAACTGTGGAAGGTGAGTAGCATTTTTCTACAGGTGCTGACTTGATACATAAGAGATGCAGAATGAACAATGATTATAAGCAAATGATTCATAAAGTGTTTGAAAGTCTATAAAACTTCAAATTCGCCGGTAAGTACAGCATATGTGTGACATTTCCACTTGTTTATGAGACCGACTTTGAACTTGTCAGCAGATTTTATAGTATAGGTGGTTCCTTTATTTACCGGTGGGCTAGCAATATCCCGAATAACTAGAGGATAGCAGCGCTGTATCAGTGCCTTCGTTGAAGGCAGTACCGTTTGTTTGATGATATTTCGATGATATTCTGAAACTGGTAAAAGATGGTGTCAATCAAGCTATGAGCAAGTTTGCCAGTATATTGCTAAGTTCATCGTTGGCGTTGTCATCCACAGTCAAAGGGACGTCCATGAACTCAGGTGTCTTATGCTGTGACTATGCCAGTATCGGTCTGTTTGAATGGACGAATGTCAATGGTGAGTTTATTGAGGATAAGCCAACTGTGTATGAGAGTGTAACTGTTAAACTCATTTGCACAAATAAACGCATTCCAAGTTTCAAGCTACTACTTGAACGTTATTATCTTTGGTGAAAATTACTCTGTTCCTACACTTGGTTGGTCAGATACATCGTATGTGTGTTCTTATAATAATAATAATTTATATTTTCATATAAACATATAAATTTACATGAAATAAATAAATAAATAAATAAATAAATTTATTCTCATGATACAGTACATGAGGGACGCCAGTTTACAGGCATCATCAAATTGTTACAGAAATAGGATCATATTATTCAGTCACAATTTACAGTCGATAGCAAAATATGTTTAACATGTACACTGGAGATTATACGTACACTTGATAAATGTTAATCCGAATAGTATAAAACATCCTTTTCACTTATGTACAATCATTTCTGTGCATAGTTGGAAAAATCCGCTAGATTTTCAGTGAGTGCAAAACATCAGGAAATACAGAAGTATTGTCTTCGCATTAACAAAAAAACCAGGTCTTTGGTGGATGGGTTATAAGTGCCTGGGAAAAAAATAAAGCTTGAAGTCAGTTTTCATACATAATTTTCTTGTGTACAGAATCCTTGATTTATAGTTCATTGATGTGTTATTTTGAAATCAGAGAAATGTTTATTTCATTGAAATAAGTAAATAGATGGATTGATTCTCATGGTACAGTACATGAGGGACGCCAGTTTACAGGCATCATCAAATTGTTACAGAAATAGGATCATATTATTCAGTCACAATTTACAGTCGATAGCAAAATATGTTTAACATGTACACTGGAGATAATACGTACACTTGATAAATGTTAATCCGAATAGTATAAAACATCCTTTTCACTTATGTACAATCATTTCTGTGCATAGTTGGAAAAATCCGCTAGATTTTCAGTGAGTGCAAAACATCAGGAAATACAGAAGTATTGTCTTCGCATTAACAAAAAAACCAGGTCTTTGGTGGATGGGTTATAAGTGCCTGGGAAAAAAATAAAGCTTGAAGTCAGTTTTCATACATAATTTTCTTGTGTACAGAATCCTTGATTTATAGTTCATTGATGTGTTATTTTGAAATCAGAGAAATGTTTATTTCATTGAAATAAGTAAATAGATGGATTGATTCTCATGGTACAGTACATGAGGGACGCCAGTTTACAGGCATCATCAAATTGTTACAGAAATAGGATCATATTATTCAGTCACAATTTACAGTCGATAGCAAAATATGTTTAACATGTACACTGGAGATTATACGTACACTTGATAAATGTTAATCCGAATAGTATAAAACATCCTTTTCACTTATGTACAATCATTTCTGTGCATAGTTGGAAAAATCCGCTAGATTTTCAGTGAGTGCAACACATCAGGAAATACAGAAGTATTGTCTTCGCATTAACAAAAAAACCAGGTCTTTGGTGGATGGGTTATAAGTGCCTGGGAAAAAAATAAAGCTTGAAGTCAATTTTCATGCATTACTTTGTGGTGTGCAGAATCCTTGAATTATAGTTCATTGTTGTGTTATTTTGAAATCAGTGATATGTTTATCTCATTTGATGTGCAATGTCATTGTTGGGAGTAAAATACATAAGCTTTAGACGCATTAATTAATGGATTTTTACTGCTTGTGGATATTTACTTCTCGTGAGGAAGGTTTTTGAATTTTAGTTGTTCCGACAGGAGTTGTGGATATTGACTGCTCAGCAACATTATGGATATAAGTTCATCACATTATCTCAGGAATGTTGGGTTGTAGTTGGTGATGCATATATGATGTCCGACGAGCGTACATCTGTCCATGTGATGTTGTGGTGAGTTATAACCTTTTTCATGTTGTCAGTTTATGTCCATTTTATTCCACTTATTGTGTTGGGTAGAAGTTT